CGGGATGTCTCTTCCTCTCGCCGGGTGGGTGTTTGCTGCACACGCCGAATCCCCGCGGCTCCCGGGGTCTGCTGCCGTTTCCCTCTTTGCAAAGTGCACGCGTGAGAAGATTCAGAGAGCTAAAACAATTTCTGGAAGTTAGTGTGGGATTCAAAATCTGAATTATAATTATTTTTAATTTACCCACCTTTATTTAGGCTGGGCTTCTCTTAATTCACGAAGGCATGGTTTGGTATTGTTGACATTTCTTCTTTTTATTTCTATGTTCATCAGTAGTGTATTAAAAAAAAAAAAGAGAGAGAGAAGAGATGAACTCGGTAACTGAAGCAACAGCGCAGCAGGGGTTGGGCCAAGGAGGGGATCTGGGAACATCCCCTCGGACACGGAGCTTGAACTTGTAGCTTGGAACTGGCCGGGAGAGACTCGGGCATATCTACCTGTTTAGGGTGAAAAACATGCTGAATGAGACAGAACCCTGGCTCCTTTGTTGGTGTGTTTTTGTTGTATCTGGGGCACGGTAATGCTCTGTGAGTGGTAAGCTCCTTGGGATTAGTTCTCCTATCAACTCATGCCTTTGAGCTTTGACAAAGTTGCCTTTTCAAGGCTTCATTGTGTTTTTCTTGACTTAGAGGAGTCTAGGGATTTCCCCCCCTCCCACATCCCCCTCTTGTATTAGCAGGAGAAAATGCCTTCTGCCATCACTTGGGGTCTTTTGGAACATAAATTGGTATAGAATGAGGTTTTGTCTGCTGTTTTCCAGGAATAGCTGTAAGTCATTCTATCCTTAAATGAACATGCACACTGAGTTAGAAACTTTCATACGCAAATCAAAGCACATTTAAATACTGTGTAAATGCAGCCATTTGCTAGCAGAGTGATATTAGTTCATTATATCTTCTGTGAATTAAGGCTGGCTAATGAATGAGAGCATCTATAAAGGGTTTTAAAGGTACTTTAAATGTGCTTTACCTTGTATTGCTCATGTTCCCGGTTTCAGTTAAACTCCCTACCTAAAATCCCATCTGTGTGCAGTCACAGTCCCAACTGCGGTGTTGCTTCATTTGGAAGAACGTTACTTCCCTCCAGCCGGAGTAGTGCAGTCCCACATGGACCGTTGCTCACACTGCCACCAAGGAAAGAGCGGACTGGCTAAGACTGGTATAACTAATGGCAAGGCTAATTTAATTCTTCCTTTTGAGCGCTAAGTGAGGATCCTACTTTATCCAGAAGATACGATACATTTTCCTGCTGTAGAACAGTACTATAATGTCACTGTGCGTTTTTAACAAGAACATCTTTATTACTGCTTAAATCTCCTTTAACTGCAAATCCTGTCTGACTCAGAACATGCACATTCTGCTGTTCTGTAATCTCTGCACATAGCTCTTTATTTCTGTGCCCAGTTCAATTATTGAACAAGGTCATTACCTTGCTAAAATATCCCGCTTCACATTGCTCTACCCAGAAGGATCTATACGTTAGCAATCTGTATCTAGATATGATTTGATCTAAAGGAAACAGCCCTTTTCCAGGGCTAATCTCTTTCCTGGGAGAATCCTACCTAAAACTGATTTCCACTGATGAGGTTATAATGCAAAAGTGTGATGTATGACTGTGATCTTTGGATCGTGGCAGCCGTGTCAGCAGCACTGACCGGGCACGTGAGTCTTGCTGCTCTGGCACTAATGCCTTCTGCGTGCTGGCAAGTGGCATCGTCCTATACGGGTAACAAAGCCTGCAGTTTTGCTCCCTTCCTGTTACGGAAGTAACTTTTGTCTGTAAAAGTGGAAGTTCAGGTTGGTTCTTGTCACCGTCAAGATACATTGCGTGATTGTTATTGGGAGAACTTGCAGAGGCTCGAGCAGCACTGGTTAGGTACTTAATGCCTACGGAGAAAATTTACGGCTCTGTCCCAGCTCACCGAGACAGCACTTCGCAGCGCATCTCTGAACTGCGTGCGCTCCTGTTGGATTCTACGTGACTTTGGCTGTGTGATTTGTAATGAGGTTTGAGCCACGTGCTCTTGTGCAGCCAACATCTGATAAATCCGCTTACACAGTCTTTATTCTCAGAGGGGCCTTGGGCAGAGGAGGTTTTCCAAGCTGAGAATATGGTCACTTCTTGTCAGCTTGTTTATATTCCGCCTGCTAGGTAAAGTACTTCAAGTTCTGTTTCTGGTTTGCGGTCTTTTCCTGGCCAATGTACTATGACAGCAGTAACGCTTTAATTTTCTGGGCTGTGCTCACTGAAGGAGTAGCTCAGCTGAATGACTAGAACCTTAGAATCTTAGGAACAATTTCTATATCATCATTAGATTTGTGTGCTAAGTAGAATAATCTTGAGATTGCTATTTGTGCATCCTAAACATGGAAACCCCCCGTGCAGAATCCTTTTTTTTTAACTGGTACTATGCCACTTGTAGGAGCAGAATGTTGGAACTGAAACAAAATGCTGAAAGACTGGTCAAATTTTGCTAATGTGGTATGATGTGTTTAGTGTCACACCTGTATTTAGTGATATTTTCATGGTCCCTGCCCTGTTATTTTTTTTAGGAATGCGCAGTTTGCATTGAGACATTTGTTTCTGCTGAGGTATGGGGGTTCGTATGGTGAGTTTGTACTGCACTGCCTCAAGGAGGGAGACCCTTGTGCTTTGCTATGTATTTGCAGACAGGTAGAAACCCTTTAATTGGCTCTGTGGGTTTTTGGGGTTTTCCCCCCCTTTTTCTTCCTTTCTTTGTACTTCCCGTCTTGCTTCAGAAAGGAAAAACCCGTTATTAACATACTTTTTTTGGATTCCCAGGATAAAGCCCTGGATTTTGTGCTGTTAAGTCCTGGTTTGGCTTAGCTGTAAGCGAGAGCCAACAGCAACCCGCTCCAGCAGCAGGCAGGCAGCGCACGGCATGCTAGTGTCAATTCTGCCTCTGTAGGGGAAGCTGCATCATCACAGTGTTTGCATAAGTGTGTTGATAAATTAAAGAACACTTTATGTTTAATGTAAAACTTGTTGATTTTTTTTTTTCCAGAAGTGGTTGGCTCTGAGATGGTGTCAAACAGAATGGAAAAAAGCTTGCAGTTAGCCTGAACCAGAGCAACGACAGCACCAATAAAAGTGCTCCCAGGTATGGTATCTCCCTCACTTCTTGTATAGGTTTGGTGAAGCAGTTGAAGAGGGGCTCGTGCACGTCAGCTCTTTGTGGAAGGCCCAGTGAGGAGTCAAAGTGGCAGCAGTGTTTCATTGTCGATGTAGCTATGCCTCCTCTCCAGCGAGGATCTCTGTATAGTGACAGTAGATACATATAGCACCAAAGTTCTGGGTGCTCCTGGGTGATTGTGTATGGATGGAATGAACTGCAGTGAGCAAATTGTTGAGGCTTTGATGTCTAGAGGAAGAAAAAGAAAGTGCAGGGAGCTTTCTGTCTGGGCTTCCTGGTTCTCAGCTGGAAACCGAGCGGGGAAGTTGGTCTCTCCGGTGCCAGTGTGTGAGGTCTGTGCACACCAGCGCTCGAGCAATCTTGCGGCTGCGTTACTTAGTTCCACCTGCCTGTGACTGTGTCCGTTGCAGTCTCCAGAGGTGGTGGGGTCTGGAGCAGAAGTTGGCAATTTTTTGAGAAGAGAATCTGCAGATTCTAGTTAGGAGAGAAAAAAGTTCAGCATAAGCATGCTGTCAAAACTTTAGTGGGAATTTCAGCACCATCTCTCCAAGACAGTCCTGCTAGTCCCCTATTCGGGAATATTTTTGCTGTTCAGTGGGCCCAGACCTGCAAGTGTTGTTTATTTTGAATTCAGAGAACTTTGGCTTAGGGCCACTGTGTCTCATAGATACACTCTTACAATGTTACAGTTTCATTTTCCAGTTCCCAGGACTTTGTGGACCTTGTTGCATATCCTTCAAAGTCTGTCTGTGCGCTGCCCTTGGCACTGGTGTGCAGGTTGTTGACCTTCAGTTTATACCATGGGCTAGCTTGTGGGAACTCCCAAGCTGTGGCATTATTACTGTTGCAAAAGCAGTTTGCAGACCCAGGAGATACTAAATAAAACCACCGCTACCTCCACCCACTCTTTGCTGCCTCCTTTCTGGGCAGAGCTGGGAGTTTTCCACCAGCAAGCTTTTTTTTTTTTTTTTTTTTTTAAAAAAAACAAACCTAGTTTTCCATTCTTCTGCTGAGGTCAGAAGGGCTGAGCAGGGCCAGCAGATGAGATTTGCATCTCCTTGCCCCAGTAAGCAGGAAAGGTGCACAGGTTTCGCAGCATCATCAGTAAAGCCTGCTCTGAATCAACAGGCTGCACCAGGTTAGCAAAAATTGTTTGTTTTTTCTGTTAAACTGGCTTATCTAGACATCTGAACTGCTCTAAGAAATGCTCATTTCAGTCTTGTTTGTTTATCCCAACCATTGATTATCTATCTTTAGTGAAACAGATAAGTGCGACTCAAGTCCTCGGTGGCAGAAATAAGCTGTTTAGGGTGTGAGTATACCCTGGGTTTCATCGTGCAGTTTTGCTTTCATTTGCAGGCAAAACAAACTCAAACCTGAAGTGACAACTGAAATGGTGCGGTCCTCCAGTGTAATGGTTTCAAACAAGGCTTCAATCTTATCAGAACCAAAGTTTGGCCTGAGAGATACTATTGTTAAATCTCAGCTAGTGCAAATGGAGGATTCCTACACACACATCCAGCACTTCAGGTAATGGTCATTCCTGAGAAGAACTTATTTTTGTGGGGGGTAAGTGAGTTAGCGTAAGCTGTCAAAATAAGTCGTGTTCGTTATTTCATGTAGTATCCCTGCGAATAGGAAATTTTGTAGAAAACTATGATCCATACTTTCCAGAACAGCTTTCTTTCCTCATTTAGGCATGAGCAGAGAAGAAGTTCATTCATGTCTCTGTCAAGGCTTGCCTCATGGTTCTTGTTGAGAAAACGGCCTTTTTGAAATTACTTTTTCCTGTGCTTATTTCAGACTGTGACTGGAAATGTGTCAATTCTGTGCACCCCTGGCCTTCTCTCTCACTGCTTCTGTTCACTACTTATCCATGTAGTTGTTCCAATAAGCTTATAAGAATTTGGGTGAAATACATAATTAGCATCAAAACTTTACTGTTGTTGAAGTCTTTTTATGCATGTCATTCTATGAATTTATCATTTCAAACTGCTATTGCACAGCTCTAGGGGTTTATTTTTGGGGGGGGTGTGTTTTGTTTTTTTTTTTTTTTTATTCTAGATGTAAAAATGTGTATCCTTCTGTAAAACATGTCTGTAAAGATGCTACTGTAATTAAATCATTTTAGGGATTTAAACTTTGTCACATTTTCCTAATTCCCCCCTGGAAACACATTACTCCTAAATAGTTATATGTAGTGTTAAGTACAGGGGTTAATAATAGCTGTATTTCCATCAGCTGTACAATTTGCAGCTCTGGGATTTAGTTAATTTCTTTGCAGGTTTTTTGTTGGGACATATAACGTGAACGGTCAGGCACCCAAAGAGAGCCTCCAGCCTTGGCTGAGATGTGATGCTGAGCCTCCGGACATTTACTGCGTGGGGTGAGTGTCTCTTTCTGGTCCGTCCTTCCAAACCTTGACTGTGGGCTGCTTGCTCGTGAATCTGTAGCATGGAGGTGTCCGGCCAAGATGCCGCAGCTGAGGAATGTTTGCATTGCCTTAGCCCGTTGCATAGCTCTAGAGCATGTGTTTGCATAGCCTGAAAGGGCAGTTATTCTGGTAGTGTTTGGACTCTCTGGCACTGCAGTGTTACAAAATGCCATTTTTAATTTAATGCCATTCAATTTAATACTGATAGTAATTAGCTTTACATTTAACATACCTCTAAAATCAGCATAACTGAATTTGAGTTTTCAGTTATAAATTTAGTGAGTATAAATTGATTTAGTTCTTTCCCAGAGGAAAGGGCTAGAGAGTTATAAACAAGTGCATGCATCCATGAGTTCCTTCCTCTAACAGTTTCCAGGAGCTTGATCTGAGTATGGAAGCCTTCTTATTCAATGACACACCAAAGGAAGAAGAATGGTTTAAAGCTGTAACTGACAGTCTTCACCCAGATGCCAAATATGCAAAGGTAAACGTGGCTTTTGAGGAGGTTTGAGTGTGGAATAGTTTTCCACTTGGGCCTCTTTTCCCCTTGCTTTTTCTTGTTCTCAATTGCTGTGTGTTCCAGAGGCTCGTTGTCTGCAGGTTTTGCTCAGTCAGAACTGCTCTGAAGGGAAGTAGGTGGTGTTGCTGTGCAGGGTGCCGAGGCAGGGAGTAGGACAGGAGAGCAGAGCTAGGCATCCACGTGTAAAAGAAGCTCCTGCTACCTTGGAGGAAGAGGCTAGGAAGTACCTTAGCTTCTTCCATGTCTGTCTCGACAATGTATGGTGGAAAGAGTTGTGAAGGTATCTTGGTAGGAATACAGCTTATGTTTCGGGTCCTGCTCCTTAGGTCTGCTTTGTCCCTTGTTGAAGGGAGGCCCCTTCCATGGGCTGTGTCTGTGCTGTAGGTTTTGCTTTGGACTTCAGCTTCATTTAGTGGGGTGTTGGGTCCTTCCTGTGCTGTGCTCTTGGAGTGCCTCTGTGCTGTGAGCCCAGTTGGTCTGTCAGATGAGTCTGGAACTCTCGTTTTCTTCATCTGTATTTCAGTGACTCATGTTCTGGACTGGAGGGGCGATGTGCCTTCTCTCATCAAACCTCTCCCATTCTAGTATTTGATGGAACAGGGTCTGTTTTTCAGGTGAAATTTGTGCGTCTCGTGGGAATCATGCTTCTGTTGTACGTGAAAGCAGACCTTGCTTTGAATATCTCCGAGGTGGAAATTGAGACTGTGGGAACTGGAATCATGGGGAGGATGGTAAGAATGGCGACTGTGCATGAGAAGGGATGAGATTTAGAAGAGCCCTGGAGAGCCCCTCTCCTTAGATGTAGAGCTATTCCTCCAGCTGAGGCACGCACCTGCCTTTAGAAGCACATAGTCCTGTCCCTGTGCCAGCTCAGGGCGTTGCTAGAGGGCATTGCCATGTGCTCGCAAAGGCCTGGAGGGAGAATCTTCTCTGAAGGCTTTTTTGTCTGATTGCATGTGCTGGGCTGTGTGGGGCCTGGCTCTCATGTGATTTTGATGCTGCCTGTGATTTTGCCCAAGGCAAATAACACAAGGAAAAATGAGTAGAGGAAACGTGTCTATCCAGATTAGTTTTCCTGAAGAGGACTTCCTGGCCTCTTGCCATTCCACACCATTGGAATGAAGTCTGTGCCCTTCGAATGTAGTTTCTGTGAACACTGCAGCCATAACTTGTCAAAGCTAAGCCATGTGTTTCCTCCTCCATTTACATTTTTTTATGGTTTGTGTTGAAAGATCCAGTTTGTTGCTAAATAGGTTTCAGGACTTGCTGAAGTAACTGACCAGCTCTCTTACTGATTTTAATTTCCTTTTGTATTAGCTAATTCCTGAATTACAAACTGAGTTCCATGTGCTTGCTTGCTGTGTTCTGTTGCTGTGTGCAACCCCCGCATGAGTTACTGACTTGATTTCATGAAGCAGTTACCGCTAATTGGCGTTTTCAGCCTTTTCCTTCCTCTGGAATTAAATGGTCTGCCTCGATGTCGTCTGGTTTGTCCACTGCTCGTAACTCATTTGTGGAATCATCTGTTGTGTAGAAGCTTCTGACCAACATTTTTGTCTTTATCTTTCAGGGTAACAAAGGTGGTGTTGCCATAAGGTTTAAATTCCACAACACTAGCGTGTGCATTGTGAATTCTCACCTTGCAGCTCACGTGGAGGAATACGAGCGGAGGAACCAGGACTTCAAAGACATCTGCTCTCGGATGCAATTCTGCCAGTCGGATCCAAATTTGCCCCCTCTCACTATTGGCAAACACGAGTATGCTTCCCCTCTGACTGCGTGAATCGCTGCATGTGGCAGGGAGAACCTTACGAACGTACTGGGGTTGACGTGCTCTCAGCAGGGATGTGAGAAGGGGTGCCCGGTGATCAGCCCGGAAGGGTCAGAAATGCTTTACCGTAACCCTGGATTTGAGAGCAGTCACTCGTACGGTTCTGACAAGTCACTTGCTGCCTTGTGCTCTTCCAGGCCTTGTTTTATTTCCAAGCACGAAGTGGGAATGGGGCAATAATATTTCCCTAATGGGTTATGGGGTTTAGTCGGTGTCAAATATCAGAAGCATCAGTTATTAAGAGGTAGTGACAAACATGCAGAACAGGAATTAAAGCCAGCAAAGGTAGAAAATGTAGCTTCTTTCAAGTTTTCAGTCTTGTTCTCTCTGATGGAGAAGCAGACACAGCATCCACCTGATCATGTAGAGATCAGAAGAGCTCACGCTTGCTGTAGATGGTTTGAGGCACGGCTGCGGAGCTGTGCTTCCAGCTTGCGTTTTGGACATCTCTAGGCCTCTGTGCAGACTTCTGGTGTACATTCTCTTTCAGTGTGATCTTATGGTTGGGTGACCTCAACTATCGGCTGGAGGAACTGGATGTGGCAAAAGTGAAGCAGCTTGTAGATGAGAAAGCATTTCTAGAACTTTGCCAATATGACCAGGTACTGACGTCTCGCCTGCCTGCAGGTGGTGCTGAGGGTGCTAGTTAGAAACCGCACACGTAGTCCTTAGCCTTCTCGGTGCTGAACATCTCCCTTAGCTCATATGGGAATTGTGCTTGAGCTTATTTAATTTTTTTGTCTTTTATTTCTTTCATAGCTAAAGAGGCAAATGAATGCAAATGCAGTCTTTGAAGGCTTTACAGAGGGAGAGATTTCTTTTCAGCCAACGTACAAATATGATGCTGGTTGTGATGACTGGGACACGAGGTATGGTGATTGCTTCATATGTGATGCCACCAATGGCTAATGTTGTCACTGAAGGAAGTAAAAGCAAAGCTAAAAAGAATTGCAGATCTAATGGCTGTAAATAGGAACGGTTCTGAGATGATTGCTGTTCCTCTCCCTTGGCTCCAGAATCCATCTCCAGTTTACATCTATTTACGTTGCTTTTCTTCCACTGTTATTTGTCAGATATTCCTAATCTTTTTCTCAGGAATAATCCATTTGGTTTTCTCTGAAGTTAGATGTATACAAAATCATTTTTAGTTAGTTTCATTCTTTTTGTTTGTTTGGGTTTGTTTTGGTTTTTTCCCCCAAGCAAAATTTTTAGGCTTTTATTTGCTGATATCTGCTATACCTACTCAGGTCAGACCAGAATCTGTGGGAAATACAACTTTGATAGAGAACTAGCTCCAGGTCATGTCAGGAAAACACCGAGTCCCTGGGGGAGCAGTGTTCTGCATTGTTACTCCCCCTGAACTGTGCCTGGAAACTGTCATTTTTATCTCTGTTTCAGTGAGAAATGCCGTGTTCCAGCATGGTGTGATCGGATACTCTGGAAAGGGCAGAACATTACTCAGCTGAGCTATCGCAGCCATATGGCTTTGAAGATCAGTGATCATAAGCCAGTTAGTTCTGTGTTTGATATTGGGGTAAGTATGTCAATATGGAGGAAATAACTCTGCTGACCTCATCCTCTGTGTGGGGAGAGGGGGAAGGAGGAGGATTTCCCTCTCCTCCCGCTTTTATAGCATCCACAGAGAACAATGGCTTAAAAGGTGGGCCAGATAAGATACTGAGATTGGACTGTTGTTTGCAGTAAGCTAGGGTTGTGCTAAGGGATACTTCAGTGAAGCAGAATAATGCATGAGTATCTGTAGGTGTTGTTTCAGAAGTGTTCTTTTGTCTTTTTTCTTATTTGCCTAATAATTTTCACAGAAACTTGCAGTGCAGGTCCTAATACTCCCAACTTCGGTTTTTTCCCCTGACCAGGCCGCTGGGTGTTGTCAAAATTTTTTTTTTTTTCCTTTTTTTTTTTTTTTTAAAACCTGTTCTAGTACTGTCTGGGTGGCTCTCTCACTAGTTATGGCAAGGTCCTTTACTGTTGGGTCCTGAGGAGATCTTGTAGCATTAGTGTTCTGAGCTGTTCCTTACAGGTGTGGTATACACTGGTGTGCTGCTAGGATCAGATCACTTCATATGCTTCCAGCTGTGTGGCAGCGCTCCTGCAGAGGCACAGTAGATGCCAGCTGGTGCAGTGTGTGTCCTTTTCAGGTGAAGGTTGTGAAGCAGGACCTCTATCGAAAAGCCTTTGAGGAAATAGTGCGCTCCCTGGACAAGCTGGAGAATGCCAACATTCCCTCGGTGACCCTCTCCCGGAGAGAGGTAGGCTGTGTTCATGTGCTGTGACTCGCTGGAGAAACTGAGCGGCCCTAGACCCCAGAGGTGTAGCCCAGCGGTAGAAGTGCGTTAGATGGGTTCTAGACCCTGGGCTCTGATTCCAAAGAAGTAGAATATTTTGACTTCCAACTGCTCTCTCTTTACAAGCCCTAGAAATATTTATTTCTGTTTAGGTGCAAATTTCATTCACGGTACTAGGCTGAAACGTAGGGTGTGTTACTCCTTGAGGTGTGGGGAGAGAGAGAGTAAAAGGGTAGTTTTGTGGCCCTTGCTCTGACTTGTTTTTTGAAACACAAAAGGTAAAATCTGAAGGATTTGGAGAAGGTCACAAAACCGGCATTTGCTTTGTGTGTTGGAGACTAGAAAAGATACGCAAATGAGACATTTGAGGCTACAGCTATTTTGTTCTCAAGTTTCATTGAGGTTATTAAGGGGAGGATTTGTTTTAAAGGGCTCACTGATGCAAATGACTTGAGCATACAGAGTAAGCAAATGTAATCCTACGTAATCCTGGAAGAGACGGGATGTGGGAGCAAGAGGGTTAATCTGGGTATCTTGCTGCTTAATGATTAAACTACAGGACAGGAATTGCTGCTGGTGCTTGGCAAGGTGGAATTGGCTGGTGATGTTGTCTGACATTTGTTTCTAGTTCCATTTTGAGGATGTCAAATACATGCAGCTGCAGGTAGAGAAGTTTACAATTCGCAACGGACAAGTGCCCTGCCAGTTCGAATTTATCAGCAAACCAGATGAGGAAACCTACAGCAAGGAGTGGCTGACTGCTAATCCCAGCAAGGGCTTTCTGCTGTCAGGTAAGATCCTCATTTTCATCTCATGTTAATGAGCTAATATTGTCACCTTCTGGCTTAGTTCTCTCTGCTATTTTGAGAATGTTATGTCTATTTGCAGGCTTATTGGTTTAATGCCATTTTTAACTAATTATGAGGTTTTTTTATCATCTTTGGCAGACGCTGAGATCACAATTGAGTTGGAGGTGTTTGTTAATAAATCAACAGCTACACACTTAAACTCTGGAGAGGAAAAACTTGAAGATATCTTGGTCTTGCATCTTAGCAGGGGGAAGGATTATTTTCTATCTGTAACAGGAAACTACTTGCCAAGTTGCTTTGGGTCTCCCATTCATATGCTGTGTTACATGAGGGAACCCATCCAGGACATGCCAGCAGAATCCATTCGGAAACTTGTGAGTTAAAGACAAGATTCCCCTCCAAACCCACCAGACCATTAAAGCTAGATGTTAAGTCCCATGTATTGCTGAAGAGCCTTCTTCCATTTCCCTGGTCCGTAGTCCGAGAATGCTGATACAGCTGGTGCTCTCCAGGGCACCATCTGCACACCTTGCACTAGTTCTTCACGTAGATGAACTAACCCATTTCATATAGAGAGCACTGACTGTAAGATCCCATTTGCTCTGCCTGCACATTTAAAAAAGGAGTGCAGCTTCTAAATGTAGACCTTCTCCCTGGAGCCTTTGGCTTTCTCCACATTGAACAGAGGTGTATATGTATATGTGAGGCATGATGTAACGTTTCCATAGAGAGCTGAGTATACGTGAAGCATGTTTATGAGAGCAGCTTGTTTTCTGCCTGGACTTTTGATATAAATGTGCCTGTTGTACTAGTCTTGTATGAAGACTGGTGAGTGAAGCCACACAGCTTCTTAACAAGTCTTAATTCTCACATGTAAGCTCTGTGAAGCGTTTTTGCAGAGTTGAATAAGAAGTTAGCTACTTTTTTTTTTTCCCCCCCCTTTCTTTCTTTCCCCTCCCCACACCTCCCTCCCTCAGACCCTGATGCCACTAGAAATGAGTGATGATGCTGTTCAAGGTGAAAAGCCTATGGACATTCCAAAAGAGCTGTGGATGATGGTGGATCACTTGTACCGCAATGCTTCCCAGCAGGTTGGCAGTGTTTGTACTGGAAACACAAAATCATTTGTTTGTGTTAGGTTTAATTTTGAAGAAGATACTGGTGATGGCAATCATTGCTAACTGTGGATGTTTGGCCAATGGCAGAGAGAGATAAAGGACATCTGTGATAAGTGATCCTGGTACCCTGGGTTGCACTGTGTGTGGCATGCATCAGCAGCTGTCCTTCTGCCCTGCTGTCCTCTGCAGTGCCACAGCCTGACTACGGCTGCTCATGGTGGGATTTGGGCTGATAAATACCAATTTGGAGAGATTTCTCCAGGCACATGGTAACGATATTGCTCTATTTACCCAAATAACTTTTATTTTCCTTGAGACTGACTAAGGCCCTGCTTTGCAGGAGGACTTGTTTCAGCAACCAGGCCTCAGATCCGAATTTGAGCAAATCCGAGATTGTTTGGACAAAGGAATGCACGATACCCTCCGTATCCTTTTAGACTGATGTCCGGTAAGGCTCGCTATGCCTTAGTGATCAAAACTGAAAAAGATTTTTATGAGTCCTCTATGCTCCACCATGGTTTTTAAATTACCGACTCTCATCTTGGGCTAACCGAGATCTGCAGTTGCTCCCTACTCCTTGTAGTCTGTACGAATGCCTCTGCTAAGTCCTCGCAATGTTGATGAATGATTGTTGCTGAATTACGTAAGTGTCCGACGGCTGGCGGCAACAGCTTGCTCTGTGGAGTCAAGTGATGTAACTCAAAGCTGTGCACAATAGGAGGAGTTCTTGGAGACCTAAGCAAGGATTAATGTTTCAGCAGAAATAGGACCAAAATAGATCACGCTGTGCTCGCCTCTTCCTTAACCATCTTTGGATCAGTTGGCAGCAACCACTCGGTAGCAGAAGCCCTGCTGCTCTTCCTGGAAAGTCTGCCAGAGCCTGTCATCTGCTACAGGTTGTACAGCAGCTGTTTGGAGTGTGCCAGCAACTACCTGCTGAGCAGCCAGGTATCGCCAGCTTTGCTGCGAGGCTGTTTCTGTAATTCCGGAGGGAGGGGAGGCAAACTGTTTTATGCCAGGCCAGTGACAGGCTTTTGCTCTCGGAAACTTAATTATCTGGTAATAGAAAGGATCTAGAACTGGTGCTTCTTAGTTATTAAGAGCTGTTAGTATTTCCAGACAGGGTGATGCTGGTGGTAGATAAAGCTGCTAAGCCATTGTCATGTCTTTGATATAAATGTTGGGTTTTTTTCCCCCCTCCTCAGATCATCTCTAACCTGCCGAGGTGCCATAAAAATGTATTTGAATATCTAATGGCATTTCTACGAGAACTACTGAAAAATTCAGGGAAAAACCATTTGGATGTGAATGTTCTTGGTAAGGCGAGCAAAATAACCATTCTGTTCAGAGGGACTTTGCGGTTTGTATAAAACACATTTCTCCAAAGTGAGTGCAGTCATGGGCTCTACTGTTTTGAAGCATTTAATAATGAGCAATCCATAAAAAAAGTCGTTGCAGTAGCCTGAAACATGTTGTAAAGTGGTTCAGAGATGCATGGGTCATCACCTTTATCTTACCCGCTCTGAAGCCAGGCTCTCTCTCACTTTGACTGATTGGGGTTGGTGGAATTACTCTTGATATCCTGCTGCTGACAGGCTCTTACTGTGTCTGTGGCTTTTCTTTTTTTTTTTTTTCCTCCATGCAGCTAGTATATTTGGTGGCTTGTTACTTCGGCCTCCTCCTGGACATCCTGCGCCCGATATAACTGAAAAGAGGAAAGCTCAGCAATTTATCCATGAGTTTCTCTTGAGAGAAGACAATTTGCCATGAATTTCAGATGCAGCTAATCTAATTTTTAGATATCAAATTACTGTAAAAATATTTTTTGTACAGTATACTGGCTTTTTTTTAAATATCACAGTATTTTATACAATCTACTGCTTTTGAAGGCACAGATCAGGCACTTTTAATCAGGTGTCACTGTTTAAGCTGTAAAGTATATAAAATTTCTAAATAAGCTGTATGTAGACAAGCAAAAATATAAAAGCTGGTATTTACACTGTATTTTATTTAACTTGTATTAAACCTCAGAATTTTTAAGTCCTTGTTATTTAAATAAAAAGATCTTGGTGCATTTTTCCAGCCTATCTGCCCATTTTCAGTGTTGGCTGCTTTAGGATCGTGATTTAAGTCTCGTTGTAAAAGGCCTGGAGCAGCCCCCTTCCACGGTGCAACGCCGCGTCGCGGGTAGCACCACGGAGGCGTCGCACGAATCCTTCTGCGGCCTTCGCACCCGCGTAGCTCTCCGGGACCGTGTAGCAACGTGGACTGGCGATCTAACGGAGGTACGGGCCTGCACCGCAAGAGAGCGGGTTATTCCGAAGACAGGCGCAGGCCGGTGCGTACGGCGGCGGGAAGGGCGCGGGGCAGAGGTGGGTGCTGCTGGGAGAACGACGGCCTCTGCCCCGGAGTTTGAAAATGCCAAATAACGGGTGAGGGCCTTTGCTGTCTGTCGCCAGACCTGTCCCGTGGGCAGCCCGAGGCCCGCTTTTGAAAATGCTGAGGTAAAAATGGAATATCAAGGAAAACTTGGCTTTGCGTGCCCTGCTTTGAACTTGTGCCACTGACGGCA